CCTCTTTTCCCCCATGTATAAACACTTGTCTGTGTTCCTTTAGAGTTGCCAGGTGCTTCACTTTCAACTGTGATCTCCTCAAGGCCGGTGGGGTCCCCTTCTCACTTTGTAGACTCTCTTCTTGCCATTTTAGGCCTCTGCTTCCAAATGCAGTCTCACTTACTGTTTCTGTGTGTCTCTGTCCCCCAGATGTACGGGGACCCTCTATGCACCGAACCCAATACGTTCATTCTCCCTATGATCGTCCTGGTTGGAACCCTCGGTTCTGCATCATCTCGGGGAACCAGCTGCTCATGCTGGATGAGGATGAGGTGAGTGGGGTGGGAAGGTTGGGAAAGGGCATGTGGGAGAATGCGGAGAGTCCTCATTAGTGAAGGGGAGAGAGACACAAAGAAGGCAGACAAGAAACATTTGCAAATGGCAGGAGGGTGGCCATTGAGACTTGGATTGGAATGTGACAAGAGGGGTAGTCATTCTCTCACCTTGGCCAGGGGGTCTTTGAGGGTCATGAGCTGTGTTGGGGAGGAGATGTGGTTCTGAAGATTTGGGAGGTGGAGGGCTCCTGTTTTCACACTGTTCATATTGTAGGATAGGTTAGAATGGGGACGGGGAACTGAAGGGTTTGGAGAAGGGGTGAAGAAAGGGAAAGCCCTCCCCACCAAAGCAATCCTCAGGACCTCTCTCCACTTTGCCCACTAAGCAAGTCTCTCAGTTCTTTCTCCATCTGGGGGCAGAGTGCAGGGAGGAGAAATTGCAGGACCCAGAGAAAAGGCAGGAGACAGAGGAGGTTTTAGGTAGCTGGAGGGTACTGGGAGAGAAGACCAAGGACAGTGGACCTTGGCATGATGGGGGTGAAGACTGGGAGAGTGACTGAGATCAAGGTTTCAAGAGACACTGAGAGGGCTTCTGCAAGGCACTGGTTAGATATAAGGAAGGAATATAAGGGAGCGGAACTGGGAGTATGTGGAGTTATCTAAAGGAGTAGGAGTAGAGTAGGGGCAGGGACTAGCCAGAGTAAAGGAGATGAAATGGACAGAGGCCTCTTATGGGAGGTGGTGGCCAGGTATGGAGATCGGAGAGCCAGAGGAGTGTGGGTTCTGATTTGGGAGCTGGGTCAGCAGGAATGTCCATGAGAGGAAATAGAGGATGCAAACTGGAAGGGTGGCCCACAGGTGTGAGTCAGGGAATGGGGGTGATTTGGGGGACAAGTTTTAAAAAATGGTAGGGTAGCCTGGGAAACCAAATGTGGTGAGAGATGGGCCCTGAAAGCTGTTGGGAATGGTGTGGTGAGGAAGGGTTAGAATTTCAGTGAGGACTAACTGGAGTGTCAAGGGACCTGTGGGGACAGTGAGAGTTGGTAGACAGCTTCCAAGCCACAGAGTAAAGCAGAGGTGTTAAGGAGAGGATATGGTGACTTTGAAAGGAGAGGTGGTTTCGGGAGTCTCAGTTTTGGACACCACTGGGAGACATTTGAGGGGTTTGGAGTTTGTAGGAGAGATAGGGGAAACTGGAACCAAGAGTGGGAACTTACAGGGATGAAGAGGGAAGACAATGGATGGGGTAATGAAGGAATGACTGAGATAGGGCCAGACTGCAGGGACCAGTGGCCAGCAAGCTGAGGGGCAACAGGAATGACCAGTCTAGAGCAGGAAGGGCATGTGTGTGGGAGGGGATTAGATGGAATTGGGAAAAGGAGCAGCCTGAACAGACACAGGGAGTTGGAATTGGATGGGTTGTGGAACTGGGCTGGGGATAGTGAGGGGTCTGGTCCTGTGGCTCCTGGTAGAGATGGAAGAGACCAGAGGGGTGGAGATATATGTTGGTAGGGATGCGGGTGGACGGGGGAGTGGGGTGTGAAGCTTAGGGAAAGGTGATGGCTGAGGGGAAGAAGGGAACTGAGAGATGTTGGATTGGGTGATGGAAGGAGATGAAAGGTGGGGGAAGGTGACCAGGCCCTCTGGGGGGAGGGGAGGTTGGGTCCCAGTCTGGCCGCAAGCCGGGCCGTGGGAGGGAGACAAGCTGTGGAACCTGATTATAAATGCAGCTTCTGCTACCCCCGTGACAGGCTCGAGGGAGAGAAGGGGGTAAGGGAGGTGGGAGGTTGGGAGGAAAGCAGGGAGAATGGAGGAACTGAAGGTCAAGGGAAACCTGGATTCAGGAAGTAGCTAACTTCCGAGTAGTTGCCGAAGGGCTTGGGAGAATTCTTGGGAAGGTGTTTCAAGATAAATGAAGGGAGAAAAGAGGGTGGGACGGGAAGGAATGAGAGAGAGAGAGAGACTGGGGGAGAGAAGGGAGAGATCCACTCACCAAGTGTGGTGGGCCAGGGCAGAAGGTGGGCAGGCTTGGGGAAGGGAGGCCCGCCCTTCCTGGGAGGGGGCGGAGAGAGGGAGGGGAGGGGCGGCGTGGGCCAGGGAGGTCTGACACACCCCCACCTCCCCTAGATACATCCCCTACTGATCCGGGACCGGAGGAGCGAGTCCAGTCGCAACAAACTGCTGAGACGCACAGTCTCCGTGCCAGTGGAGGGGCGGCCCCACGGCGAGCATGGTACGGCGGCCGAGCAGGCTCTCGTGCCCCGGACGGGCGCGGGGAGAGGGCTGAAGGTGGACCGCATTCGGGGGGGCGGGGGCGTAGGGGAGCTGCGGGAACTGGCCGGGGGCGGGAGGAGGCGGAGACAAACTCTCGTTTCTCGAGGGGAGACGGCGCCCTCCTTTGGAAGGTGGAGCGCGACAGGGGCTGTGGGTGAGAAGCTCTGTGGGTCCTCGCTCGGATTCGCTCCCTTTCTCCTCTCCAGCAGCGAAGTTTGACTATTTTCCTGGTGCTTGTAAAAATAGTCTCCTTAGATCTTTAGCTTCCAGTCCGTGTGTTCCTGCCCCTGCCGCCCCTCCCAGCCCCTGGTCTGGGATGTTGGAGAGAGTGACCTAGTTCCTGTCCTCCCCACAGACCTCTGCCCCACCCCTACGCTCCTGATTCTTCCTCCGGACCTTCAGGCCTTGAGGTCCCCTTTTCCTGCCCCCTTTTTCTCCTCTTATCAACTGCTTCTATTTTCTGCAATTGTATCACCCCCCTTTTCTTTCCTCCTTGATTTCTCTTATTTTCTGTACCCCTCTTGATTACCCCGTACTCCCCTCTGCTCCTGGTGAAAGTCCATCAGACTCCCATCTCATCTCCTTTCTGTCTGTAGAGCTATCTGCTCGGTCTGTCTCTCCAACTCTCTCCCTCTCTCCATCTGTCTTTTCCCCTCCCTCTCCCTTTCTGCCCCCCCAACCCCCTCTTTAGTCATTTAAAAAAAGATTTTTGTCTTCCTGAGAAGTTCGCTTAAAAGGTTTCCATGGGAACAGTGAGGGGAGATGAAGGCAGAGAACAGAGATCTGCAGCCAAGGTGCAGAGAGACGCCCTCAGCCCCCGGAAACCCCCTCGTCACTGCCCCTTACCACTACATTTCCCTTCCAGGACCCAGCGATCCAGGTTCCCCATTCCTCCAATCCCCCAGGTGACCCCTTTTCCCCACCAGCCCCCCTCCCTCAAGAATTCAGGCTACCAGTTTCTTTCCCTTAGAGAGCCAGTGACCTGTCCCCATCCTTTGGCTCCTTCCAGCCTTCCGATAGGTCCAGGCGATACTAGCCTTATGGGCAGGTTTTGGGACCTTGGGTAGGGGTGGGTGGGTGGTCAGGGATGTGTGTCATTGTCATGGAAACCCCATACCATGGGGGTGTGTGGGTAGCACATCTCTGTGAGGCAAAGCCAGGTGGTGGTGGAGTGTATAGGGAATGTGTGTGATGTTTGTCACATCTGTGTATATATGTGTATGTGTGTATGTCATGTTCATGTCTGGGGAAGATGCGTGTGTTTGTGTGCACTTGTGTATACCTGCGTTTCCAGGCCAGAATGGTCACATGCTCATAGAGCATGTTTATCATGTGTCCTGTGGTTGGCAGATCTGCCCACTTATTCCCCATCTTTCTCCTTATCCTGAGTCCTCAGGGTCTAGGGGTCTCTGCGGGGGTCTCCCATGTGTTTTGGGTGGGGACATCATGTGTGTTTGGAGTTGAGGTGGCATGTGGAAGTTGCTGTATTGGGGTTCAGTACGGGCTGGGAGGTGGTCCAGGGGCACATGTATTTGGGGGAAGGGCTTAGTGAAAGTTGATAGAGGTGAACGTTTAGGGTCTTCAGGGAGACATGGAAATGTGTAAAGGGCATGGAGGATGTGCAGTGCATATAGGGTCGTTGGAACCTTGGGGACTTGGCTATGCAAAGGTGTTTGCTGAGGCTGTGGACTCTCAGGCCCGGGAGAGGTCGCCGGACCTTTGAGGGGCATTGGAATCCAGGGCTCCTCCTCTGCTGGGTGGAGCCGCGAACCCTCGTTCTCTCCGCGGTTGTGTGGTGTGTGTGTGGGGGGGGTCCTGCTCTGGAGGGGATGGTGGGTGGCCTGGTTTGTTTTGGGGGTCCCCTTGCCCCCCTCCCCCGTCTCTCTCGCGCTGTCTCCGGGCGACGGGGCTCGTGACAGAGGCGGCCACGGCAGCAGCGGTCGCCTAGCAACGGCGGCGGGGCCCGGGCAACGGCGGCAGCGGCGGGAGCGGCGGCGGAGGGAGCCGTTCCCGCGGCCGTCACCGCGCGGCCGTCCCGGGCCCCGCCGCCGCCCCCACCGCGCCGGGCGGTGCGAGCCGGGCCGTACCGCCCCCTCTCTCTCCGCACTCCGCCCTTCCCCCGCGCAGGGGCGGGGCCCCTCCCCCACCGGGGACACCCCCGACCCCCCCGGGGGGGCGGTGCGAGGTAAGGGCGGGGCCGGGTGGACTAGGAGCGCGCGTGGTGGGGGTGCCCGCCGCGCGCATGGGGCGGGGGCGCGCGTGTGCGTGGGCGCGGGGAGGGGGGTGGGGAAGCCGCGGTGGCGGCGGCGGCGGCGGCAGCTGCTCCCTCCGCATGTTCTCGCTGCATCTTCCGAGTGGGGGGAGTTATGGTAACTGGAGGGGGGCAGCGGAGGTCGGGTGGGGGTCGGGGAGTGGCCTCGTGCGGGCAGGGTCTCGGGCACGCGGGGGCGGACGATGTGTGGGATCTTGGAGCCCCTGGTGGAAGGGGCAGCCCGTGTGGCCGCGTGTGTGTTCGTGCTCATGCTCGTGTCTCCTGTGTGTCGGTGCCATGTGCACACGGGGGCCCGGTTCCTCGTGCACACATGTGCAGCCAGCCTTGTGCAGGTGTGTCCTGTCTTACCCTGACTCTACCTGTTTCCTGCCTAGGGGGCTGTTGGGCCAGCCACAGGCTTGTGGGGCAGTTCGCCGCCATGCTGGTCCATGTCACCTCTGACCCTGAGCATGCATATCCCTAGCAAGGGCTCACCTCCTGTCCGCCTTCTGTGTGTGGGAATGTGTGGCCCTATGAGCAGGATTTTCTGTGTTCCTGGTGGCAGGTGTGTGTCTTTGCATGTGTGTTCCAGCACTGGCCTGAGTATCTGTGTCAATCCCAGCATGGTTGTCCAGGGCGTGTCTGGATGTGGGTGGTGTGTTATGGGGAGTAAGTGTGTGAATGTGTTCCTTGGAATCCTACTGTGTATGAAACACCTTTGGGCTGGGCAGGTGTAAGCCCTGCTTGGTCAGGAAGTAGGGAAAGAAAACCTCATGAAGGGAAGAAATGGGGTAAAGAGGAAAAGTAGGGAGGGGATAGAAGAAAAGGAATGAGAGAGGCTTGAAGAAGAGAGCAGAGAGCAGGCCAGGAAGAATAGCTGGAGAATGGGAATGTGGGAGAGAGCCGAGCCAGACTTAGAAGAGAGAACAGGGTGATAAGAGCTTAAGATGGGGAACTGGATGGAAATGGTGGGAGAAGAAGGGGCCTGGGAACTGGGAAGGCAGTGGGGAGGAGAGAGTCAGGCTTTCTGGTAAAGTGATCTCTGAAAGAAGAAAGGGAGAAAGATGGGAGAAACCATTAGATTCTTGTAGGCCCTGTAGGATCAGGCTTGGTTGGATCAGGGGAGGCCACTCAGGCATACAGGCTTGCTCACAGTGAGGCCTGTCACGGCAGGGACGGTCATGAGAGGTTCATATTCCCAGCACAGAGCTCTGTCTCCCATTTCTCTGCTCTGTGTCCAACCCTATTCTTCACCCTTCTCTGGCAACCTCTCTCCCCTGGCTTCCCTTGAGAGCTGTCAGCTGGGTGTGTAGAGGAAGAAAGGCCAAAGGGAAGGTTAGGGATTGGGGGATTGGAGGGCAGGGGGAGATTCTGTGGGTGATGGCAAGATTAGAGATGTCGGAGGGACAGGAGACCAATCCCTTGCTGCGTGTGTGTGAGTGCCATTGTGTGTGTACACAGGGTGTGTACATGTGTGGGTGTATGCACAATGCCTGTGTTACGGGTTTGTGTAGGTGGCTGTTATGTGTGTGCATGCATGTATACATCATGCAGGCATGGGACATGGAGATCCAGGATCACAGTGTATGCTTTTCAGGTTTGCTGTGTGTATGTACACAGGTGTGTGTTGTTTTCTCTGTACATGTCACTGCATACAGCACTAATAACAGGACGTTCTGGGTTTCTGCCACTCTGCCCCCCTTTCCTGTGTGTTTCTGCTATTCTTTTCCTGCGACAACAAAAGTCTTTAATAAGCATATGTGTAAGTGGCCTCTGTGTACCTGTGACTTATGAGTGAGTTCATGGATCTTAGTTCTTGGTAATATGTGTAAGGTTACATTACTTCCAAGAACCAAGCAAGCCAATTATCAAATTTGTTCTTCTGTTAATGCTTTAGTTCCAAAGCAGAATTTCAATGCGTTTAAAGTTAGACTCTATGCCTTTATTAGATGAGCTTGCACGTAAAAATCATGGCTGAGCTCGGTTCCCTGACATGAGAGTGAGGCAGCCATACCTGAGAAATGCAGAAAAACGTTACTAGGGAAGAGATATTCTGAACCGTTGGATGCATTGCTTAGTGTGTAACAGAAGAATAATTAACACATTTGCTCCTGGTTTTTCTTTACTCTGGTGGCAATCTCAGATGCCTGTGTTAGAGTGAGGGAAGGGCTGGGGGAGGAAAGGGGGTTGTCCTGAAACAGAGTGGATATGGTTGTACTTTTCACATGAATGAAAGGATGTTTATGCTTCTGAGATATAGGGATACCTTTCTGTGGTCGGGATCATGGTGTACTCAAGCATGTATTTCAGGGGTTAAACTGGAATTCCCCTGCATGGGGCCATGTGTGTCTTAGGGTTATAGGTCCATTTCTGTAGTGTGCTGTCCACATGATTGCCCAAGAGACTTGGGCCACAAAGTCCACACCAGCAGCTCTCATGTGGGCAGTTGGGTTCAAGTATGTACTCCCTGTTGCAGTGCTCACATATGTTGAAGCATGTATCCTGTGGAGTGTGTGGGCCTCGGGGTCTCAGAATGTGGATCCGTGCTATGCCCGTGCTCACAATTGTCTGTATGTCTCAAAAGCACATAGATCCCACTTACTTTTTGTATTGTGGTTCTCATATACACGTACCTCCACAGCTCAGTGTATGTTTCTGTACTATATACCTATTCCTGAGGGAGTGATAGGGTTCTCTTGTCATGTGGTCCACATTTTTGTATACAAACCTAACATCTGGGTTTTACAGGTAAAGGGAAGCTGGGGACTGATTCTAGGGCAGTTTGCAGGGAATTTGCAATTCTGGAAGCAGACAGTGAAAATATAATTGTGGCCCTCCCTTGTTCTGTTCTGGAACCTAGAGGGTTAACAGGCAGCTCTTCCGGTCCACCCCCCTCCTTCCAGCCTGTAGCTTCTTGTTGCCGTGGAGATGGTGGCCCCGCCCCTGATGCAGCACCTGCCCCCCCATTGGCTGCAGTGGTGACTGTGGGGCTGAGGGGGGAGCCCAGGCCTGGGCAGCCATTCTGGAGCTGAAGCCGGAGCTTGGCATCCCCCCACTTACATTCTCTTCCAGCCCCCCGGCCCCTCTAAATTCCCTTGCAGCCGAGCCTCAGCTTCCTTTTTCAGAGCTTGCCATCCCTCTAGGCTCTTGGCAGGCTGAGCTGCATCCGCATTCACCTCCCCTCCTCCTCCTCTCCCTATCCTTACTTGGGAGTCCCCAGAACCCCTCACTGCCCATTCTTCCTGCTCCCTGCCTACTCCCCTGCATTCTTTGCTTTTCCCCTCCCCTGCCCCTTCTGAGCCCCTGCCACTGCAGTGCACGTGGAACCAGCTCCTTCTCCCCTCCCCCAAACCTGCCCCTTCCTTGGATTTTCTGTCCCCCCCGGCTTCCCCTGCTACTCCTCACAGATCTCTTCTAAGACCTCCCCCTCCAGTTCAGGGAGGGGGTCATGGGAGGCAGCCCTGGCCCTCCAGACAGACAGGGGTTCCAGGAGGTGGGGGGCAGGTGGAAGGTGTGCCCAGCCGGGGAAAGAGGAAAGCCTGTCTTTGGGCAATGACCTTTAACCCATCTTTGCCCCCAGCTGGCCCCTTCTGGAGTGGGTGGGCCCCAGGGACCTAGCCTCTTTGGATCTTTGGTGTCCTTCATTACTGGGGTTGTACTGACCCTCTCAGCTATGCCCCCCTGCTGAACTGCCAGCCCCCAGTCATGGGCCTAAGGCCTCCCACCCCATCCCCCTCAGGGGGCTCCTGCTCAGGTTCCTTGCCCCCTCCTTCCCGCTGCCAGCCTCTCCGCCGTCGCTGCTCTTCCTGCTGCTTTCCGGGGGGTAGGTGAGGCCGGAGCTGAGGGGCAGAGGGAGGTGGGGGCATGCACTGGGGTAAGGGGTGGGAACCTGGGTTAACAGCTTCCCTCCTGGCCCCCTCCCCAACTTCCCTTCTGGACCTTTCCTCCCCTCCAGAATACCACTTGGGTCGCTCGAGGAGGAAGAGTGTCCCAGGGGGAAAGCAGTACAGCATGGAGGGCGCCCCCGCTGCGCCCTTCCGGCCCTCGGTGAGTGGTACCTGTCAGATGTGGCTCAGCTGGGCCCCCACCCCTCCAGCCCCAACTGGCGCCGTAGGAGTCTGAGAAAGAGGGCAGGAGGGGGAGAGAGGGAGTCAGAGTGAGAAAAAGAGAAAGTGTGTGTGTGTGTGTGTGTGTGTGTGTGTGTGTCTCCCCACCTCCCCACCTCTTTGGTTTCCCCTTCTTGGCTCTGCCCCGCTGCTTCTCAGACCAGCCCTCCTACCTTCTCCAAGCTGTGTGAGTGTGTGTGTGTTTGTGTGTGCTTGCACTGTACCCGTGGGAGCAAGGAAGACAAACTAGTATTAGGGCTCCTATCCCCCTTTCCTCGCCTCTAGAGACTTTCTTTTCCCCCATCCCACTTTCATCCAGGGGCTCTTTACCAGCTGAGGGATGAGTAGGTAGAACTGACTCTGCCCAACCTACCCCATCCCCATTTCCCCCCCAGCAAGGCTTCCTGAGCCGACGATTAAAAAGCTCCATCAAACGAACGAAGTCACAACCCAAACTTGACCGGACCAGCAGCTTTCGACAGATCCTGCCTCGCTTCCGAAGTGCTGACCATGACCGGTACAGGGGCTGGAGCATGTGGGATGAGATCGATGTAATACAGCATCTCTTTGTGAGATGGGGAGGGAGGGCTTATCTGTGTGCAAAGCTTGAAGGATTCAACTCAAGTTGGTTGGGGGATGTCATGGGGCAGGGGACAGAACAGAGAAAAATGAGAATAGGGATCTGTGAGCAGCAGGAGAGGGGTAGGGTGGCAGAGAGAAGATATAAAGAGGCTGGAAAGGGAATGAAGGTGAAGCCAAGGAGGGACTCCACAGGGACTCCTCAGGCCAAGAAGGATGGGCTCTAGCCCAGGATCAAAGGAGCTGTACAGGAGGAGGGTGACCCTGGAGGAACGTTTAAAGAATGCAGGGAAGGGGTTGGTAGGAGAGTGAGCAATAGGCTCTAGGTGGAAGGGTGTGAGGGAAGGGCAGGAAATACAGGGGCAGCAGGTTGGAGTGGGGCTGGAGGTGGCTGAATGAACAGAAGATGGTTAGGGCTCAAGGACCTCATCAGTGGGTGAGGGAAGGGACAGTATAGAGCATGGCAGAGAAGGGGAGGCTGGGACAGGTGTGCAGGGTGATAGAATGGGGAGCAATCCATGGACTGAGGCATGAAGAAGCAGCGCCCACATAAGTCCAGAAGGCACTGTCCCTGAGGCCAGGCTGAAGGAGAGACCTCCACTGTTTGCCTTTGTTGCCTGCCATTTGGGGTTCCTCTCTGGGTTTCCCCCTCACCCATTTACTCCCCAGGGAGAACCATGCCCTCCCTTTCCCCCATGTCTGGCCACCCCCAGGGCTGGGCAGGTAGGGAGGTTGGGATAAAGTGAGTCACACCTTTCCCTGCCCCCTTCCCTGTTGCCAGAGCTGGATTTGGGGCCGGCAGGGGGTGAGGGCATGGTATTCCTGGCCGCGGGGGCGGGGGGCCGGGGGCCGGGGGAGCGTCGCGCTGACGGCAGCCAGAGCCTGCGATGACGGGGCTGCTATAAATAACTTCTTGGAGGCTCCCACACCCGAACTCCCCTCCCGCTTTCCCACTGCTCTCTACTCTTCATCCCCTGCCCATCTCCATACCGCTTGCTATCCTACCCCTCATTATTCCGTGCCCCTAGTCTCCTTTAGTTTCTGCCCTCCTGCGGTGATGTTTTTGCATTCCATCTCCTCTTTGCCCCCACCCTGTTCCCCTGGCCATCTCTCCAGTTGGCTCTCCTCTTCTCCTGTCCTCTGTCTTGCTGCACATACGTTTGTCTCCCCCTTTCTCTTCCTTGCCCTACCTCCTCTTCTTCCTAGTCCCTGTATTCTCTTTTACCCTCATTCAGCTCTTTTGTGCCCACAGCTTTCTCCTATTTCTTACGCTTTTCCCCTCACTCTTTCCCCTGGTTCTGCTAAAACTTGTCCTCTTATGCTGTGTTCATTCATTCTTTGAATCATTAAATGTTTATTAGGCACTAGCTGTGTGCCAGCCCCAGGCTAAACAAATCTCTTCTCTGTGCCTTCACTTCTTTGCTTCCATTTTTTCTTTTATATTGAGGCTCTGGTTTCTGGGGTTACCCTGAGTTAATGAACTAGAAGTGTCCCAGGCCCACTTTGTTCTCTCCTTTTTTTTCCTTTTCTGCAATGGTCCATTTCTGGGTTGAGATATTTCTAGGTGTCCCCTGTCCTCACAACCCCTTAGGTGTGAGATGGTGGGAGTTTCTTTTTTTCCTTTTTAAAAATAGATAGGGTCTCACTATGTTGTCCAGACTGGGCTCAAGTGATCCTCCCACCTTGGCCTTTAAAAGTGTTGGGATTACAGACATGAGCCACCAGGCCCAGCTGAAGCAGGGGAATTCCTTCAAGGATTCTGATTTCTCTCATATCCCTCACGTCCTTCCTGAGATAGGCAGGGTTTCTTTCTGTGTGTTTGGAAAGGGTGTTCAGGGGGCCTTCTCTCCAGGTCTCCATCCTAGAATAGACAATAGACTAATGATGCAGGGTCCCTGTGTGTCTAAGAGTAGGAGGGCCAGGTGTGGTGGCTCATGCCTGTAATCCCAGCACTTTGGGAGGCTGAATCACTTAAGGTCAGGAGTTTGAGACTAGCCAGGCCAACGTGGTGAAACTCCGTCTCAAATAAAAATAAAATAAAATAAAATAATAAAATTAGCTGGGTGTGCTGAGGCAGGAGAATCGCTTGAGTCCAGGAGGCAGAAGTTGCAGTGAGCTTAGATTGCGCCGCTGTACACCAGCCTGAGTGACAGAGCAAGACTCTGTCTCAAAAAAAAGAAGAGTGGGGGGGCCCTGATCCTCTCTCCCAAACCTCCCGCCTGCCAGGGCCCGGTTGATGCAAAGCTTTAAGGAGTCGCACTCTCATGAGTCCTTGCTGAGTCCTAGCAGTGCAGCTGAGGCGTTGGAGCTCAACTTGGATGAAGATTCCATTATCAAGCCAGTGCACAGCTCCATCCTGGGCCAGGAGTTCTGTTTTGAGGTACAGGGTCTAGTGCGTGGGAAGGGCCAAAGGACAGGGGTGATGGAAGGTGGAGGGGCACAGAGGTCTAGAGAAAGTGGCCCAGGTGAGGACATCAAGGAAACAGAAACTTCTGGGGCTGGAAGAAAGGAGGATAGGCCAGGGTGGGAGAGAAGGTAGTAGAGTCTCCTCTACTCTGTAGCCCTTTCCTTCAGCTCCACACTCCTTTCTAGGTAACAACTTCGTCAGGAACAAAATGCTTTGCCTGTCGGTCTGCAGCCGAAAGAGACAAATGGATTGAGAATCTGCAGCGGGCAGTAAAGCCCAACAAGGTATCCGGGACTAAAGGGGACACAGCCTGTGCAGGGCACAGGCTGAGCCAACATGGGAAGCTGGGGCCTAGGGAGGAAAGTGAGTTAAAGGAGGAGAGGCTTGGGGAAGGAGAGGATTCAGATATAGGGGACCTGGACAAGGAGGGGGAGACCCCCATTATTCTGAGTCCCCCATTTCTTGTCTCTTTCTGCTACCCTACCTTACAATCCCTTTCCCTGCCATAGAAGTTGTAGACTTACAGAGTTGATGGGGCTCTGGAAATCCTTTAGTCTAGCTTCCCTGCAGGCAGGAATGCTTTACCAACACCCCACTTGCACATTTCCGCAGGACACTTAAAATATACTTAGCCAAGTCTCTGTACCTTGGTTTCCTCTCTAAGACAGAGGGAACTGGTGGCACTGGGTTGGATTAAATGATCTCTAAGGTCCCTTTGGCACATAAATTCTATGAGTCTGTCTTCTTCCCAAAAATTCTTGCTCCCAGTTCTGTTCGCTATTTTCTATATCCCAGTTTCTAGCAAGCTTACAGTCCTAGTCACCCTCCTCTGGGGGAACTCTTGTGTCTCGATGTCCTTAAAGAACTCAAGATGCTGACATGATCTCAGCCATGCAGAATACAAACATCATGTTCGTTTTCAACACACTGCAATATCACCTGAGCCTTACCATTGGGGTCAATTGTATCACCCCAGGTCTTTATACCAACGGTCAAGCCTTACCCGTTCTTTTTTTTTTGAGACAGAGTCTCACTTTGTCACCCAAGCTGGAGTGCAGTGATGTGATCTTGGCTCACTGCAACCTCCATATCCCTGGTTCAAGCAATTCTTGTGCCTCAGCCTTCCTAGTAGCTGGGATTACAGGCATGCACCATCATACACAACTAATTTTTGTATTTTTAGTAGAGACGGGGTTTCACCATGTTGGCCAGGCTGGTCTCAATCTGTCGACCTCAGGTTATCTGCCTGCCTCAGCCTCCCAAAGTGCTGGGATTACAGGCATGAGCCACCGCGCCCAGCCAAGATTTATCCATTCTATATGCAGTTCTCTTTTCACAATTTCCGATAGTCTCTGCAGGACTTTCCAGTTCTTTTAAATTCTACATTAATATTTTTGGCTTGTTATTCCAGCTTTTAAAATCTTTCCAATACTGATTCTGTGTATGAACCAGCTTCTAGAGTAGTTTCCTGGGGCTGCTATAACAAACTGCTACAAACTGTGTCATGTAAAACAATAGAAATTTACTCTCTCACAGTTCAGGAGGCTGGAAGTCCAAAAGCAAGATATCAGCAGGGCCATGCTCCCTTTGATGCAATAGCAGGGAATCCTTCCTTGCCCCTTCCTAGCTTCTGGAGGTTGCCAGCAGTCCTTGGCATTCCTGGGCTTGCCCAGGCTGGAGTGCAATGGTGCGATCTCAGCTCACTGCAACCTCCGCCTCCTGGGTTCAAGTGATTGTTCTGCCTCAGCCTCCCGAGTAGCTGGGATTACACCTGCCCACCACCATGCCCAGCTAACTTTTTGTATTTTTAGTAGAGACGGGGTTTCACTGTGTTGGCCAGGCTGGTCTCGAACTCCTGACCTCAAGCAATCCACCTGCCTCGGCCTCCCGGAGTGTTGGTACTATAGGCGTGAGCCACTGTGCCCGGCCTCTTCTTGATTTCATTATATTTATAGGGATCCTGTTTCCAAATAAGATCATATTCATTCATAGGTTCGGGGTAGGTATGAGTTTTGGTGGGATGCTATTCAACCCAGTACACTGTCTCACCTTATGATTGCTGTCTGTATCCCACTTTCTTACTGTCTCTCCTCTTTTGGTGTCTCTCTGTCCCTTTACTCTTTAACATCATGCCTACCCCACCATGCCAGGACAACAGCCGCCGGGTAGACAATGTGCTAAAGCTATGGATCATAGAGGCCCGGGAGCTGCCCCCCAAGAAGCGGTACTACTGCGAGCTCTGCCTGGATGACATGCTGTATGCACGCACCACCTCCAAGCCCCGCTCTGCCTCAGGGGACACCGTCTTCTGGGGCGAGCACTTCGAGTTTAACAACCTGCCGGCTGTCCGTGCCCTGCGGCTGCATCTGTACCGTGACTCAGATAAAAAGCGCAAGAAGGACAAGGCAGGCTATGTCGGCCTGGTGACTGTGCCGGTGGCCACCCTGGCTGGGCGCCACTTCACAGAGCAGTGGTACCCTGTAACCCTGCCAACAGGCAGTGGGGGATCTGGGGGTATGGGCTCGGGAGGGGGAGGGGGCTCGGGGGGTGGCTCAGGGGGCAAGGGCAAAGGAGGTTGCCCGGCTGTTCGGCTGAAAGCACGTTACCAGACAATGAGCATCCTGCCCATGGAGCTATATAAAGAGTTTGCAGAGTACGTCACCAACCATTATCGGATGCTATGTGCAGTCTTGGAGCCCGCCCTGAATGTCAAAGGCAAGGAGGAGGTTGCCAGTGCACTAGTTCACATCCTGCAGAGTACAGGCAAAGCCAAGGTGAGTGTTGTCCTCTCAGGGAAAGGTGAGCTGGGAATGGGCACTTGTGTGGGGGTTAGAGAGGATAGGGCAAATTCACGAGATTGGCTTGTGCAGAGGCTGATACTTGGATTTTCCTGGGCCTCAGGACTTCCTTTCAGACATGGCCATGTCTGAGGTAGACCGGTTCATGGAACGGGAGCACCTCATATTCCGCGAGAACACGCTCGCCACTAAAGCCATAGAAGAGTATATGAGACTGATTGGTCAGAAATACCTCAAGGATGCCATTGGTATGGCCCACAGTCAGGCTCTCTTCTTCCCAAACCTACCAGATGTCCACCCCAGCCCCAAACCTGGGTACCCCAGACCCCAAGGCCACCCTTCCACAGCTTGATACTTTCTAACCCAGAGTCCTAGGACTCCAGCCTCTAACACCTGATTCTGAAATTTCCCCAACCCTGGCCACCCCCTTCCCTGCCCTTGGAAAGTGTGACCACATCCTCTTGTGCCCTCACCCCCCAGGAGAGTTCATTCGTGCTCTGTATGAGTCCGAGGAAAACTGCGAGGTAGACCCCATCAAGTGCACAGCGTCCAGTCTGGCAGAGCACCAGGCCAACCTGCGGATGTGCTGTGAGTTGGCCCTGTGCAAGGTGGTCAACTCCCACTGGTGAGACTGGGAACGCTGGGCTGGGGGGCCAGGGTCGGGGGAATTATGTGTTCATCTGTTCATCTATCTGTCCATCCTTAAAGAGGACTGAGCACCATTTATGGGCAAAGCATTGTTCTAGGCGCTGTAGAGCAAACAGAGGTGAGAGAGGCCTGGTCCCTGCCCTCAGAGGGCCTCCACCAGAATGAGTGGGGACAAACTAGAAAAGAAAAAGCCACAGAGCCATAATGGTGTGTAAGTGCTGTGCTGAGTGAGGGTTCCCCCACTTCCAAGCGATATAAGGTCAGAGAGAAGGCAGAGCTTTAATTGAGATAAGCAGGGAGGAGGTGCCCCCTGGGGTAGGCTTTGAAGACTGGTTTAGGTTTTGATATATGGACGTGGTTGGCAAGAAAGACATTTCAGAAGGCTGTGAGAAAGGTCCAGGAGCTTTCAGGGGACATTACAGTATGTTAGTAGCAATTACATCAGGTTTAGTGAAGCATGTGGCTTGTGATGGGGAGTGGTGGGAGAGATGTCTGGGCAGGAAGATTAATTTTAGAAACTGGAAGGCCTCAAGTTAAGGAGTCTGTGGTCATTGGTAGGCCATTGGATGCCATTAAAGGTTTCAGGAAGTACTGCAATTTGGAAGATTAATCCATGAGTAGAGTGGGTATATGTGGTGGGGGTGACTGGAGTAGGGTCAGCTGGGGGCTCAGAGGCATGAAAATCAGATCCTGAAACAATAGTGACAAGAGAAGTTAGGAAGGAACTGCTGGAAGGACCTTCTGAGGAAAGGATCAGTGGGAATTGTCAGCTTATTGAAAAGGAGGGAGCATGTCTGCAGGGAGTCTTGGATGACTCGAGGCCATGAGGCTGGTAGTTGGGAGACCGGTGGCCTCTTTGACAACCAGGGAAGTCAGGAGGAGGAGCCAGTTGGAGGTGTGGGGGCGATGGTGAGCTCTGCTTTACACCAGTCAAGTTTAAGGTGTCAGTGGGACATTGAAGTGGAACTGGGAGGTGGGGGAGTGAGCTCTGAGCCATTCCAGGGACTGGGGATCATGCCTGGGGCACTTCCATCCCCATTTCCCTGGAATCCAGAAGAGTTGGGGGGTCCGAGCTCCCTGTACCTCAAGTGACCCTCCATCTCTCTCCCATCTCTGTCTCTCCCTGGTGTCTGTTTTTCTTCTCCTCCTCTCCTTGTCTCTCTCCCACACCCCTCCGTCTCTCTCCCACGTGTCTCTCCCCTTACCTTCTCTCCCCCTCCATTTCTCTCTCCCTAATCTGTCTGTTCCCTCTGCCATGACCCCCTTCTTCAAGCAGCCTCCCATCTTGCTCCTGCAGTCCCTTCCTCCCTCTCTCACCTCTGTTTCCACACCCTTACCTCCTACCACCCCCCTCAGCATGTTCCCTGGAAGCTGAGGGTCTCTGGGGCTCAGTCCCGGTCTCTCTCTTTCTCTCTCTCTCTCTCTGTCTCCCTGCCCCTTCCCCCCAGCGTGTTCCCGAGGGAGCTGAAGGAGGTGTTTGCTTCATGGCGGCTGCGTTGCGCAGAGCGAGGCCGGGAGGACATCGCAGACAGGCTCATCAGCGCCTCACTCTTCCTGCGCTTCCTCTGCCCAGCGATTATGTCGCCCAGTCTCTTTGGGCTCATGCAGGAGTACCCAGATGAGCAGACCTCACGAACCCTCACCCTCATTGCCAAGGTCATCCAGAACCTGGCCAACTTTTCCAAGTGAGGGAAGCTTCAGGAGGGTGCAAGGCAGGGTGTCACAGGGCTGGGGGTGGGCAGGAAGGGTCTCCTGGGTCGCCAGAGATCCTGAGATGGGGATGCATGAAACTTGTCTGTGTGTGTGTGTATGTGTGTGTGTGACCTTTATCGTCTGGATTATTGGCTAGGTTTACCTCAAAGGAGGACTTTCTGGGCTTCATGAATGAGTTTCTAGAGCTGGAATGGGGTTCCATGCAGCAGTTCTTGTATGAGATCTCCAACCTGGACACGCTGACCAACAGCAGTAGCTTTGAGGGTTATATCGACTTGGGCCGAGAGCTCTCCACACTGCATGCCCTGCTCTGGGAGGTGCTGCCCCAGCTCAGCAAGGTCAGCAGATCCCCTCTTTGCCCTATCCCCAGATGGCTTCAGAGATTCCTGGAGCCTGAGAAACTAACCCTTGAAGATTTTTTTCTCCCCTTGTTCCCCGAGGTGTCACCACTACTACCCCAACTCAGACCCCCTCCACTTGCACCCTGAGAGGCCCTGTTAGAGCTGGACACTGAGCCCCCATGTAACAGCCTCGCCTTTCCAGGAAGCCCTCCTGAAGCTGGGCCCACTGCCCCGGCTCCTCAATGACATCAGCACAGCTCTGAGGAACCCCAATATCCAAAGGCAGCCAAGCCGCCAGAGTGAGCGGCCCCGGCCTCAGCCTGTGGTACTTCGGGGGCCATCGGCTGAGATGCAGGGCTACATGATGCGGGACCTCAACAGGTGAGCACCCTGGGACCCCCCAGGCCCATGCCCTAAGACCCCCTTTCCTGTTCTGAATACTCCTCGTTGGGCCCCACATGCATCTCTCTAGGGCTTGAAAGAAAGTACCAAGTACCAAGTTCTCAGGGAAGACTGGTAAGGATACAGGTACAGTCAGTGATAGGCTAAGAGCCCTTTACAGCCTGAGGGAGCAAGAGATGCGGAGCTCTAGGAATAGGGCTGAGGCTCCACCAACTCGAGTCTTAGTTGTAAGCCTAGAGCACTGCTGCTGCAAGCTCTGATTTGCTGTCCCTCTGCCTGCCCATGCTCGTCCCCAGGACGTCATGTCAGCCACGTGTCAAAATATTCAACTATCTCAGTAATAGCTAGTGAATAAGCACTTCGCCCAGCCCCCGACCGGAACTCCACAGACCTCCCCATAGAGCAGTGGCAGTGGAAGCCTAGCGGGGCCTGCAGCCTGCTCGAGTCCCAGTCTCCATTCCAATGGGTGGTGCCCATGCCTCAGCTGCTGCTCATTATTTTGATGAGGGCCCTGCTTGTTCCTCTGCCCGTGTCTTCCTCCATGACACCATACCCATCCCACTATTCCCTCCTCTCCTACCATTTGTCCACATCTCTCTCCTTCTCTGTCTGTGCTCGCCCCTCTTTCCATCTCTCTCCAGCTCCATCGACCTTCAGTCCTTCATGGCTCGAGGCCTCAACAGGTGAGGGGCTCTCCCCTCCCCCACCCTCCTCTCCTCTCCTGTCTGCTCCCTCTCCCGATCCACTGGCCTTCACCCTACTCCTCTCCTCTCCTCTCCTTCTCCTCCATGGACCTCATCTCCTCCATAACTGCCCAGCCCTGCCCCGTCCCTTCTCTTGCTGCCCCCATCTCCCCTCCTCTAGGCCTCACCCGCTTCCTGGAGGGGCCCTGTCCTTTCCCTTTTCCCACCTGTCCCCTCCCTCCCTGCCTGCCTTTTTCAGGGCTGCTACCACTAGCTCTCAGCCCTTCCCTGTGGGTCCCACTTTTTACCCCAAGGTCTGTGCCAGACCACAGCAAGGATCAATTGCTAGGAGCCCCGACCTTACCTTCTGTTTGTGTGCCCCTTTCCCTTCTGACAGCTCTATGGACATGGCTCGCCTCCCCTCCCCAACCAAGGAAAAGCCACCCCCACCACCGCCTGGTGGGGGTAAAGACCTGTTCTATGTAAGCCGTCCACCCCTGGCCCGTTCCTCACCAGCATACTGCACGAGCAGCTCGGACATCACAGAGCCAGAGCAGAAGATGCTAAGTGTAAACAAGAGTGTGTCCATGCTGGACTTACAGGGTGATGGGCCTGGTGGCCGCCTCAACAGCAGCAGTGTTTCGAACCTGGCAGCCGTAGGGGACCTGCTGCATTCAAGCCAGGCCTCGCTGACAGCAGCCTTGGGGCTACGGCCTGCGCCTGCCGGACGCCTCTCCCAGGGGAGTGGCTCATCCATCACGGCAGCCGGCATGCGCCTCAGCCAGATGGGTGTCACCACGGACGGTGTCCCTGCCCAGCAACTGCGAATCCCCCTCTCCTTCCAGAACCCTCTCTTCCACATGGCTGCTGATGGGCCAGGTCCCCCAGGCGGCCATGGAGGGGGCGGTGGCCATGGCCCACCTTCCTCCCATCACCACCACCACCACCATCACCACCACCGAGGTGGAGAGCCCCCTGGGGACACCTTTGCCCCATTCCATGGCTATAGCAAGAGTGAGGACCTCTCTTCCGGGGTCCCCAAGCCCCCTGCTGCCTCCATCCTTCATAGCCACAGCTACAGTGATGAGTTTGGACCATCCGGCACTGACTTCACCCGTCGGCAGCTTTCACTCCAGGACAACCTGCAGCACATGCTGTCCCCTCCCCAGATCACCATCGGTCCCCAGAGGCCAGCCCCCTCAGGGCCCGGAGGTGGGAGTGGTGGGGGCAGCAGTGGGGGTGGCGGGGGCCAGCCACCTCCATTGCAGAGGGGCAAGTCTCAGCAGTTGACAGTCAGCGCAGCCCAGAAACCCCGGCCATCCAGCGGGAATCTATTGCAGTCCCCAGAGCCAAGTTATGGCCCCACCCGTCCACGGCAACAGAGCCTCAGCAAGGAGGGCAGCATTGGGGGCAGCGGGGGCAGCGGTGGCGGAGGGGGTGGGGGGCTTAAGCCCTCCATCACCAAGCAGGTAGGTGAAGTCAGGAGGAAGGCGGGCTGGGTCACAACAGGGAGGGAAGAAGGAGATGGGAAGGGTGGGTGTGGAACAGGGTCTGTGGCCTGAAATTACAATCTTCATGCCTCCTTTTGGCTATTTAACAAATGTGTTTAGAAGACCTGCTAGGTGCCATGTGCTGTGCCAGGCACTAAGGATATGGCACTGAACCCTCTTAGCACTCTCATTCCAGAGGGGATTAATCCACAAGTAGAGTGGGGATGACTGGAATAGGGCCAGTTGGGGACTTGGAGGCATGAGAATCAGATCCTGAATCAGAACATTGACAGGAGAAATTCTCTGGCATTCAGCTCACACCTCTGGCATTCAGAGGTGATGAAGGCTACAGCAGGGCAATAGGACTGGGACTGTCATCTCCTTTGGCTCTGTCATTGCCCTCTAAATGCACCCTGCTTTTTCCCACCTTTCCTTTCTCTGTTCACCCTCACCATGCCTTGTCCCAGCATTCTCAGACACCATCTACATTGAACCCCACAATGCCAGCCTCTGAGCGGACAGTGGCCTGGGTCTCTAATATGCCTCACCTGTCGGCTGACATCGAGAGTGCCCACATCGAGCGGGAAGAGTACAAGCTCAAGGAATACTCAAAATCGATGGATGAGAGCCGGCTGGATAGGGTACGGTGGGTTCTACCAGCTCCAAGCCCCGGTTTTTCCTTTTACCCACAGGGGACATCTCTAGTCACTTTTAAGGGAAACCTCCAGGGTCCAGTAGTTATGTTGGAAACAAAAGGCAAAGACATGATCACCTCTTGAGAAGCCTTCAGTCCATCTGGGGAGACCAGATACACACAGTCAGTTGCTAAAAGTCACTTTCAACTCTATTTTGTAGGTTATATATATCGCAGACTATCTGGGGATCATCTATTTTAGGCTTACCTCCATGTTCTTCCCCAGGAGGAACATAAGCCCTGGCTCCTGTGACTGCTTAGGAATGGAAATGTTACTTTACTGGCAGTAGGAGCTAATAAATTGGATGGGGATGGAGGGGGTTGCAGTTACACAACAAGTGATGTCTGGCCTACCCAGTCACTGTCCCGTGGGCTTAGGTGACAGTCAGTAGGCAGGGGATGCATGTGGTAAAGCAGTATATATTGGTTATGTGTGAAAAGGCCATCCAGCCTCTCACTTGATAGAGGCTGAGGGCAAAGGGCACCGAGAGCTTTGGGGCACACACAGATAACTTGGCAGAAAGTTACTTGGGGAAGCTGTTGCTCCTAGGGCCTGAGGAAGAGGGTGGCTGCAAGATTAGGTCACACATAAAGAACATATGACCCTAACACAGTGGTCTTTGAGCATAGGAAATGTTGGGACTGACTCAGATGGCTTGACCAACACATTTAATGAGCATTAAACCCTAATATTAGCTCCAAGGCAGCCGCTGTAGGCAGTGAATTCATCTCTCTCCTCTGCATATAGAACAGTTGGTGATATATGTATATATCCTCTTCAGAGAATGAGGAAATAGTCTTTTGAATCATTTTTTTCTGTTCTGTGCTGCAGATGAGGAAACCTTATTGAGAAAGGCTATAGACTAGCACTATCCAATATAACTTTCTGCAGTCATGAAATGTTCTGTAATCTACACTGTTCACATGTGGCTAGTGTTGTCATTCAGGAACTGAATTTATTTATTTATTTATTTTTGAGACAGAGTTTCACTCTTGTTGCCCAGGCTGGAGTGCAATGGCGTGATCTTGGCTCACCGCAACCTCCCCAGTTCAAGTGATCCTCCTGACTCAGCCTCCTGAGTAGCTGGGATTATAGGCATGAGCCATCATGCCTGGCCAATTTTTGTATTTTTCGTAGAGAAGGGGTTTCTCCATGTTGGTCAGGTTGGTCCTAAACTCTTGACCTCAGGTGACCCACCTGCCTCGGCCTCCCAAAGTGTTAGGATTACAGGCGTGAGCCAGTGCGCCTGGCCCAGGAACTGAATTTTTAGCTCTATTTAATTTTTCTTTTTGAGACAGGGTCTTGCTGTGTCACCCAGGCTGGAGTGCAGTGGTGCAAACTTGGCTCACTGAAACCTCCAGCTCCCAGGCTTAAGCCATCCTCCCACCTCAGCCCCCTGAGTAACTAGGACTACAGGTTCATGCTACCATGCCCAGCTAATTTTTCTTTTCTTTTCTGTAGAGGTGGGGTTTTGCCATGTTGCCCAGGCTGGTCTAGAACTTGTGAACTCAAGTGATCCACCTGCCTCAGCCTCCCAAAGTGCTGGGATTATAGGTGTTGAGCCACCATGCCTAGCCTAAATTTTAAATAGTTACATGTGGGCTGGTGGCTACCATATTAGGCTGCACAGCTGTAGAGTCTAGAGCCAATAGGGCAGATAAAATGACTCTTCTGAGCAATTCCAGCTCTGGAATTCCAAGATTCTCAGCCTGGAATTCACTTGTAGACCCCCTACAGAGCCAAGGAGAGGGTCACATGGAAGACAGGACCTGCTTCCCCGATCAAATGCCTTTTCTTCCTATGTCTCCAGCACGTGTTCTAGGGCCTGGCTTAGGGCTGAAGAATCACCCTAATATTAATTTCTGAGCACAGTTACTCAAGGTGTGCTTGTAAGTCTGTCTAGGTTTCTGTGTGGGTCTTCATCAGGGGCCATACATAGACCTCAGGGTGTGGGAATCTATGACCTTGCTCCATTTTGAGGGAGCTTCAGCACCATGGAAGGGTCTTCTCAAAAGCAGGTGTGTGGGTATGGTCCACAGGTAGGGAAGGGGTTGGGGAAGGCAACTGGATATCCCTCCCCATGCAGTGGCTGTGCTTGGCAGATAGGGATGGAGGCTGGGTGGTGGGCTTGGGGTGGGGTGCCCCTCACAGTGCGGGGTCATGTGCCCGGCGGGCAGGTGAAGGAGTACGAGGAGGAGATTCACTCACTGAAGGAGCGGCTGCACATGTCCAACCGGAAGCTGGAAGAGTATGAGCGGAGGCTGCTGTCCCAGGAAGAACAGACCAGCAAAATCCTGATGCAGTATCAGGCCCGACTGGAGCAGAGTGAGAAGAGGCTTAGGCAGCAGCAGGCAGAGAAGGATTCGCAGATCAAGAGTATCATTGGCAGGTGAGGGGCGGCCTGGGGAGGGGTTTGTGAGGGAGAGCCTGAGGCTGAAGAGAGCAAGTGGGCAAACTGCTTCCCTGACTCCTATCCCCAAACTCAGGAGCCCACTACTCCCAGGATGCCACCCACTCACTCACTCATCACCAGATGGAGAGAAACCCCAACCTGCTTAGTGCATTAAATATCCCTTTACTAAATCCTGACCTCTCTTCTGACAGAGTAGCTTCAAAATCCCTTGGAAAATGTACCTGTTCCTGTCCAACCATCACTGCATCTGCATTCAGCCTAGGCCGGCACTCCTCACTAGTTATTCTCAACCTAACCTGTGATGTTCACCCCAAACCTAAGCAGGGCTCCCTAGCCAGAATAGCCCCTCACCACCCCCTTCCTGGGCAGACCCTCCTCTCTAGCCTTGAAAAGGTGTTCTATTAGAAAGGGTCTTTTAGTCTGTGTATGTGTTTCAGCTGCTCCAGCAAGCCCTGGGCTCTGAAGAGGGTATCCTCAGCAAAGAGGTCAATTATCTTCAGAGTGGTGGAGGGGTGGGACCCTGGGCCCCACTCCAACCAGAGCCATCTCCATTCTAAATGTATTTTATGTAAGATTTAATTAGAAGAAAAGGGCTTCTTGAAATATTTTTTGAAAACCACTGCTCTAATTGATAACCTTTATGATAAATCACCTTGAGGATCTTCACAGTGAGGTGACATGGGGTATGCAGATGCCAGGTCCACAGCCACAGAAAGTCTAGGGAAGGGGCTCTACTGTCCTGATTCGGATGATGGAGCCCTGGAGGTATCTGGATGGTGGAAGTCTCTGAGGCACAGAAAGCTGCCTTAGCAGAGAGGTGTAAGAGTCCCTGAGAGGAAGGTGGAGAGCATGATCCTGAGTAACAGGGAGTCTTGCGTCACAGCATTGGAGAGATTCTGATTCTCAGGGATAAGGATGCCTGAGGCTTTTCCAGAGAGCTGTGGGGTTCTGTGGGCAGGCTCCGAGCCTGTGCCCGCCACTAACCCCACTGAAGCCCGTCCCTTCAGGCTGATGCTGGTGGAGGAGGAGCTGCGCCGGGACCACCCCGCCATGGCTGAGCCGCTGCCGGAACCCAAGAAGAGGCTGCTCGACGCTCAGGTGGAAATTACAATGTCATTTATCTTCTCCGTGTCCCATCCCCATCCATCCCACTGTCTTTCGTGCACTCACTACACCAGCCACCCAGCCCCATCAGCATCTGTCTCTCATAGTCTACTGTTTGTCCACTGGCTGCTCCTGGCAGCCCCCCAGTGACCCCATCTTCATCCCATCGTCTGTGCCTTTGTCACTCCTAGCAGCGTCAGCCCAACTCCTGTCCCTTCCCATCCAGTCTTCCCACTCCTGTCTGTGTCTCAGGACCTTCTCTACCAGAACCTTGGTCTTTCTGCCCCTAGACTCCACGTAGTTCTGGGAACCCCTGCCCCTTCTTTGCCCACTCCTGTGGCATGTTATTCAGCTTCCTCTGAGCTTTTGGGCCAGAGGGCTAGAAGCTGCCATTTTCTAGAATAGAGCACAGGGCAGTATGATCTGTAGTTTCTCCAGGCCCTGGCAGGTACCCTGAAAACTTGGGGACCCCATCACCTCTGTTCTCTTGGTTCCCCAATTTTCCTGACTCCTGGCAGCTCCTGCATAGCTTTCTCTTCCTGACCCTTCAGATCTTGCAACTTCCCTTTTCCCTCAGTATTTAAGTCCAGCCTCCCTTTAGCCTCCCTCCCACTCTGGACCTCACACTTTCCCAACTGCCTGCTGCCCAGCCTCTCTTCTCACAGGCCAGCTTCTAGGACCTCCCTTCTGCACCCTTACCCCTTGCTTTCCCAAAATTCTGCTCATTTTCCTACCCATACTCCTCTTTCCTCTGCTCTGACTGCTAGGCTCCCCCTACCTGCCATCCCCCACCAAGGCTCCTGACCCCATGACCCCACTCTCTCCCCCTGCAGCTCCTCATCAGGTAATTCTCCTGGTTCCGCTTTGGCCACGGGCGGAGGACACAGGGGGAGGTGACTCCGGACCACTGCAGGTTGGTCGTGAAGCCCACTCCCCTCCAACACCTCCGGAGCCTCTCCCCTCTCACTGCTGCCCTCCACACCCAGAGAACCTCCACAGACTCCAGCCCTCCGACACTTCCTGCACAGATCCATCTCCCAAGACACCACCCAAAGAGAGCACTTGCTGCTGCTTCCCAGAACTGTCCAACAATACCTTAGCAACACCAAGAGTTTTATCCTTGATGGGCCCAGCACATTCACAGATCACACCCACTTCCCTGCAAAACCCACCCCCTCCTGACTCTAAGCCCTCCTCTTTCTCTGCCTCTCCAGTGTATGTCTGTCACCCCCCATTTCACCAGAGCGTCCTTAGGGGCTGGGGGTGGGTCTCTTAAGGGGGTGGAGGTGATGATGGGTTGGAGGACCTTGGCTATAGGCACTGTGCTGACTGCAGCAGGTAGGTTGGGTTTCCCTGTTCCTTCCCTAACCTTGGTTCTCTACCCTCCTTTCCACTCTTCACCTGATTCTCTCTCTTCCTCCTTATATCTGTGAGGCAGAAGGCATCTGGAGCTCACATTAGCCCCCTTGGGTGAGAATTAGGAGTGGGTAGTTAACTTAGGGAGACTTGGGATACCCTGGAAAATGTTGTTGAGATGTCCTGACATTAGGCAGGGTGGGTGAACAAGAAGGAGCAAGAAAGGAACCTCAGGCAGATGTTAGGACATGGACTAGCCCATGTGGCCTGGGAGTTTAGAAATGGGGAGAGACAGCCTCCTAGATCAGATCATGGGCTCAGAAGGCATTTTGATTCCCAGGCAGATGCCAGGAACAGCAAGGTAAAGAACCTACTCTCAGAGCTCACATCCCCAGGTTGCTGATGCCACTCACTCCCCCTTTCCTGCCACCGAGTGGCCTTGCCAGACGCATAACCCTACCTAAAAAGCTAGTAAATGAGAACCTGTCAGCTATAGACATCATTTCTGAGATGTGATTTTCTTTGGGATTGAGCTGCAGTGGGCAGTGTCTCCTTACACTGTAATTTTAACTCTCTGCCTGCCCAGCCTCTCTGTCAAAGTAGCTGGTGATCTGTAAACAGATGCTAAAAGGCACCAGGGGACTTTGCCATTTAAAGGACTCCTGCAGTGAATTCTTTAGTAAAATGAATAATGGCACCCTAATTTATCCACTTTCTAAATTTGCATCCATGGGGGTGTCTGGGGCATGCCTATGTGCAGTCACTAGCAGACAGAGGGAATGGAATCTGGGGGTTCCTTCCCTGCTCTCCTGCCATACTCAGGACACCCTACCATAAGTGATTTCCTCTCACTGACTTGCAGAAAGTGCGTGAGATACCCAGCAAGCTAAGTTTTGCTGGATATCTCATACCCAAGGCTGGGGTTTGGGTAACCTGAGAGGTTAGCAACTTGATCTTGGGATGGAAGGGAGAGCTTATATGGAAGCTGTTACTTGGAAGGTGTTTTTATCCTTTGGAGGTAAGATCAGACATAGCTATACTGCCAAGCCTAAACGCCATGTGGCCCCAGAAGTAATTTGGATATTTGTTCTAAACCACTTGTAGTAGGTATTGGTCCCTCTGCAACTCAGCCATTAATTAAAAATTAGTTTTGAGCCTGAATTTTAAAAAGCCAAGTGAGCAATCGGAAGTGTAGGGAAATTCAGATGGCTTTCTTTTCTCCCAGCAGAGGAACAGAAGGTCGAGCTAAGGGCAGGAACCAGGAGTTGGTCCAGGAGCTATAGGAGGTGATTAGAGTAGGACCAGGGGTGAGCTGGGGCTGGTACCCTTCACCCTCTAATTGGGAGCCCAGGGAGAAGGACTGAAAGGAGGATGGGGGTGGAAAAGAATAAAGCCAGTTTCTGCTTCCCAGGGATGCAGAGATTGGGGCATGCTGTGTCTCTGCAGAAGCTCCTAGTCATTTTCGCCATAATTGTGAGAGACAAGCGCAGCCCTCCCACAAGATTTTGCCCTTCCCAAATCACTTCCCTGAATCCCCTTCCTTTACCCCCAGTACAGTTAAACCTCTCTCTAATTTGGAATGTTATATTTGAGAAGATGGCCACTCTGAATAAGTGACAAAACTGAATGACAGTGTCTATTTAATGAAATGCATGTCTTCAAACTATATACAGTAAGTAGAACTCGATGAACAAGGCTTTTTCCACTCCTTAGGGAGCATGTATTAATGAATAGATAGGATTCAAAAGTCTGTTTTCTAGTATAAATTAAATATCCCCTCCTACAGACACATTTCCACCACTAATTTGCTTAGTACACCCTTTCTTCACAGATAAAGGAAAACTCAAGCCCAGTTTTTGTTCAAACTATGAAGAAATTCCAAATCCACAGGGGTTTGGATTAATGAGGTTTTGCTGTACTGCCTCCCCTTATTCGTCAACAGGAAGTTCCCACCTCGGATTGCGGGTGGGTGGGAGGGGATTTCAAGAAGGGGAGGGTGGGTTGGGCAGGGAATATACATAGATGAAGCCAGAGAAGGGTTAGGTTGGGGGTGCGGTTGGAACTTGCTGCTTTCCTCTGGTTTCCTGGTGTGACATTCTGGGTTAAAGGCTTAAAGGCCCGTTAGGAATCTAGGAGTGAGATTCTCTTCTCTCTGATCCCAGACGACATTAACTTCTACTGCAGGTGAGAAACAAAATAGGAGGATGGTGGGGACTGTCCTGGGAGGAAGGGGTGTTCCATGGCTTGTGGAGTGGGCTGGCTATAGGGGAGGCCACTGCTAGGGGACTGGCATTCAGGCCCCCTTGAAGCGTCTCAATAAGTCCGCGCTCTCCTCTTTGGTGTCTTGCAGGAGAGGCAGCTTCCCCCCTTGGGTCCAACAAACCCGCGTGTGACGCTGGCCCCACCGTGGAACGGCCTGGCCCCCCCAGCCCCGCCCCCCCCACCCCGGCTGCAGATTACGGAGAACGGCGAGTTCCGAAACACCGCAGACCACTAGCCCACCCAGCATCACAGACCTTCTCTTCCTTTCCTGTGCACCCCACCCTGTAACAGCACCAACCACCAGGACTGGACATCACCGAGGAACAGCGGGATTGCCTCCCTGAATGCCTCCTTGGGAGGCACACTGATCGCCCACCCCCCCACTGCACCATTTCCAGGAGGGAGAGCGGGGACCTTCAGCTGCCCCCCTTTTCCTTCCCATTGGGGTGCTGCCCTGACCCCCAGGGACCCTTGCCCCAGGACACCGCCTACCCCACACAGACCCCTTCACTCCGGGGTGCTATCCCCATCCTCTGCCTCATCGTTCCCCTGAGCACTGGGGGACAGACCCTCACCCCCACCCTGGGGGTGTGGCACCTCCAAACTTTCAACTTCAGGGTGATTTTTTTAGCAGTAACCAGAGCTGACAATCTAACTCCCCTCCACCGCCCCATTTTGGCCTCCCCTGCCCCCCTTGTTATGGGGAGGGGACCCCGGGTGAGGGGGCCCTATTACCCCTTGATTTCTCAGGAGCGTCTGGGGGGGCTCAGCACGCACAAACTCCTTCTCCTACCACTCTTAAATTTACTCCCTCCCCACCCAGAACCCAGATGGGGTGGAGGGGGCCACCGGGGCAGGGAGGGGGCGGCAAGGGGAGAATGGGAGTTGTCTCCCCTTCTCCCCACACCTGATCTGCTCTTGGCTGGTCCCAGAGCGGGGTGAGGGGGCTTATGCCCCCCCCTCCCCCAGTGTGTTGGGTGGGGTGGAATTAAGGTTAGGGTGAGGGGTCAGGGTTTAGGAGGGCGTGTATGTTGGGAGGACAGGCTAGTTGATCTGCCCTACTCTGACACACAGTCCCCCCTGCCCCTCCCTTCTCTCTTCTTGGTCTCTACTCCCAGGGGGAGGGGGGAACTTACTCTAGGAAAAGCCATGTCTCTCTCCCCCAGGGTGGGGGGACCTGTGTTGGAGGAGGGGTGTTGGGGGGGCCCCCTTCCATGACTCTGTCCCCTGGGGGAGGTAGGACAGGGCTGGGCTTCCCTCTCATCCTCCCCCTCCCAATCTCCTTCCACCTCACTCCCTCCCGCCAGCTCCACAATTTTTCGGTGTTTCTCTGTACATAGTTCTCTGGCGGGATAGGGGAGGTAGGATGGATGGGGTTTGGGGTGGGTAGGCCATGGGAGGGGAGAGGCCCCTCCTTGGCACCCCCTCTTCCCTGACTGCTGTCCCCTACCCAGCCTTGCCCCCTTCATCCCTTTTTGCGTTTGGTATTGAGACTCTCCTAGACTCTACCCCTCTTTCTTTTGTATGGACAGTTCCCCTTCAGTCCCATCCCCTACACATACACCCAGCCGGGGCCAAATTTATACTTATATAAAACTTGTAAATATGTGAAATTTTATCCCTGTGCCCTTTCCCCATCTCAGGCCCTACCCCTGGACCCTCCCCAACCTTCCTTCTCTCTTTGGCTGTTGTAATTATCTGGGGTTTGTACTGTACATATCCGGGGTGTGTGTGTGTGGGCTGGGGGCAACCCTTCTGTACAGAGCTTCCTGGCCCCCTCCCCCCCGCCCCTCTGCTTCCCTCCCCACCCACCACCTTAAGGGTAGGGAGATGCTCTTCCTACCTGTTTTATTTTGTTTTCTCGTTCTCCCTCCCCATCCCCCTCCCAGCCTTATCTATCCTTCCTCACTGTCCCCTTTTCTCCACTCCCAGCCCCATTTCCTTTTTTTCTGGAGTGTGTGGTGAAACAGAAAAAACATGTTTAATAAACGGAGATTGTTCTTTTATCGCTGTGCTGACTTTCTGAGGTAGGGCCTTCCAGACAGACCTTTAGGGTGGTAAAATCTGCTTTCTGAAAGGAAGCTGACAGCCTGGGAGAAAAACTATATCCCCACCTGATGCCACACTCACCTCATAGACTGTCACTCTCCCCTCCCAACGAGATTTTTTATATTTTAGAGCAGGAGTTTTGCACTGGCCGAACTCCAGTCTAACTCTCCTCTCACTACTGCTTCACTTAGTCCAAGGCCAGGAACGGCGGCGTTATCTTATAAAAGAGTTATGTATATATCCACATTTATTTCTTTTAAAAATTACCTAGAAATTAGGTTTCTTTAATAGCTGGTTAAAATGCTCCCGTGCAGAATAAAGAACCCGGTTCTTCAGCAAATCCAGGTTCCAGTCCCAGGTCCACTACTATTAGCTAAGTGACGCTTTCAGTCCGTTTCCCCCGCCTGGAAACTGAGGACGGCAACCTCTACCCTCGCAGGGCCGGTGGGAGGACCAAGGTGACGTGGGCAAGTGCTGGGCCCACAAGGTAAGTGCTCAACTAATCTCGCTCCTCTCAGGACCTACCGGGGGCAGGCGTTACACTTAATCACCGGGAAACGCAGCTTTCCGGGGGCGGCTGACGGCCCGCCCCCTCCGACCGGGATGTCCTCCCCCGGGCCCTGGCTCTCGGTTTTCTGCGGCGGCGAGGACTTCCGCAACTACACAGGACGCCCGTTCCGCCGGCGCTCTGGGCCAGCGGCCTCCTCCTAGCACCGCCCTCCTCGTCTGCGGTAGCCAATCGACACGGGGCTTCTAGGCTGCTATTCCTCGATTGGCTAGGGCTCTAGCTCCGCCTGCCGCACTCGGCGTCGGCGTCCGGCCCGGAGGCCGTGGCTTCCGGCCTGGGTTGGTGATGTAGCCGCACGGTACCTGTGAGGGCAGCGCCGCGTGTGTAACTGCGGGGGCGTGTCGGCGGAAGGACACCAGGGCCGAGACTCGCGGTGTCCGGTGACCGCGTCTTCCCGGGAGCCAGCCTCTGTGAGCACTCTGAGGCGGAACGGCAGGGCAGGAGCTGTTCTGGGCGGGCGAAAGCAGGCTCGTGGCTGAAGGACCTCCTTCTCATCTTTCACTGGGGCTGCAAATTGAAACCCCGGTTGGTGTTTTGTTGCTGTTGTGGTTTGTTTGCTTTCTTGGTGTGCGGGACTGATTTGCAGAAACCGCCACTGACGAAAAGTTTCCAATTATTGCTGGTGGGGGGAGGGGGTTGTTTGAGGAGATGTGGCTCCCCCTATCAAGGGCTTCTGTGACCTCTGTGTCTTTCCTCTACAGCCTTCATCCCGCGTGGAGTCCACCCCCAGGCCCCCTCTCCTCTTTCCAATCCTTCTCACCTTCGAGGAGGCCATGGAAACCCCGACGCCTTTGCCCCCTGTACCCACCTCCCCGATCTGCAACCCAGCCCCGCGGACAATCCAGATCGAGTTCCCGCAGCATAGCTCTTCGCTGCTGGAATCTCTGAACCGCCACAGGCTAGAGGGAAAGTTCTGTGATGTGTCCCTCCTGGTGCAGGGTCGGGAACTTAGAGCTCACAAAGCAGTGTTGGCTGCTGCTTCTCCTTACTTCCATGACAAGCTGCTTCTAGGGGATGCGCCTCGTCTCACTCTGCCGAGTGTCATTGAAGCCGATGCCTTCGAGGGGCTACTCCAGCTCATTTATTCAGGGCGTCTCCGCCTACCACTGGATGCTCTCCCTGCTCATCTCCTTGTGGCCAGTGGCCTTCAAATGTGGCAAGTAGTAGATCAGTGCTCAGAGATTCTTAGAGAATTAGAAACTTCAGGTGGTGGAATTTCAGCCCGTGGAGCAACCTCCTACCATGCAGTTCTTTCCACTGCATCCTCTACAGGAGGCTGGTGCATTCGCTCTTCCCCTTTCCAGACCCCAGTGCAGTCCTCTGCTTCCACTGAAAGCCCTGCTTCCACCGAGAGCCCTGTGGGAGGGGAGGGAAGTGAACTGGGAGAAGTGCTGCAAATTCAGGTGGAAGAAGAAGAGGAGGAGGAGGAAGAAGATGATGAAGAGGACCAGGGGTCAGCCACACTCACTCAGACTCCTCAGCCCCAGAGAGTATCAGGGGTTTTTCCCCATCCTCATGGACCCCACCCACTGCCCATGACTGCTACTCCCCGAAAGCTTCCAGAGGGGGAGAGTGCACCACTTGAGCTTCCTGCCCCTCCTACTGCACTACCCCCAAAAATCTGCTACATTAAGCAGGAACCCTTTGAGCCTAAGGAGGAGGTATCAGGAGGTGGAACTCAGCCTGGAGGAGCAAAGGAAGAGACCAAAGTGTTTTCTGGAGGGGACACTGAAGGGAATGGGGAGCTAGGGTTCTTGTTGCCTTCAGGGGCAGGGCCAACATCTGGTGGAGGGGGTCCATCCTGGAAACCAGTGGATCTTCATGGGAATGAAATCCTATCAGGGGGCGGAGGACCTGGGGGAGCAGGCCAGGCTGTGCATGGGCCTGTGAAGCTAGGGGGGACACCCCCTGCAGATGGAAAACGCTTTGGTTGCCTGTGTGGAAAGCGGTTTGCGGTGAAGCCAAAGCGTGACCGGCACATCATGCTGACCTTCAGCCTTCGGCCTTTTGGCTGTGGCATCTGCAACAAGCGCTTCAAGCTGAAGCACCATCTAACAGAGCACATGAAGACACATGCTGGAGCCCTGCATGCGTGTCCCCACTGTGGCCGTCGGTTCAGAGTCCATGCCTGTTTTCTCCGCCACCGGGACCTATGCAAGGGCCAGGGTTGGGCCACTGCCCACTGGACTTACAAGTGACTGCTGAGGCTATACACTAGCTTCTAGGACAAGATAACCACTGCTGCCAATGGATACTTACCCCTCATTACCATGGCACACCAGTCATGGATCTTGTAATCAAGCCAAGAGAATAGATACATTATGGCCCTGTTCTTAGATAAGGGCCTCTCAGCCTGGCAGATGTGGAAACTCAAATTTCTCATCTCACCCTGGGTTTCGGTTAGGGAACCCTGCAGGAAATTGGTTTATAGGCCATTCATACTCAAGTTGATCACTTGCCCATGGTCGACCTTTTTGTAGTGGTGATGTCCATTAAGGAAGCCAGATTTTCGATTATTTAGTGAGAGAAGAGTTAGGGCAAAAGAGTGGTAAATGTTTTATTCAGTCTCCATGAGGAATTAAAGGAGTTGGTCTTGAATTAGAGATACATTTGATTCAGAGCTTGAGTAATTCAGAGGCTAAGCTCTAAGCTTTTTTTCCCTTATTGCTGGAATCATTTAAGCAGAGTTCCTTTTGTGTACTTTTAAAATTGTGTCTTTTGAGGAGCCCCTCACGTTGTACCTTGCTTTCTTACCAGTAGACACCTTCCCACCACTTTTTTAATGTTGTAGTTGAGCCCTTCAACAAGTTGAGCATTCCATGTTTCATTCCTAGAACCTTCTTTAATAGAGGGTATTCCCTCAACAGCCTGTGCCTCTGGTCTGCCTTTGACCACCACTGATAACTCGTATTTGTCACAGTGACTGAACTGTCACCAGTGAACTCAGGAGATGGCACTGTCCTAAAGTGCTTTCAGGGTGGCACCACTTCTCTCTGAACAAGTTGCCTTGGTCAGAGGGACTCAGGTTTCAGACAGCACAAGCTGAAGGCTGGAGAGTAACTTGTATAGTAGGACCATACCCCTTCCTTTCCCATCTCACCCACGTATGATAGCCCCTTCATTGAGAGATGGAGGGGATAGATATTGGAATGGGGGGTGGGACTTGCAGTTACTTAAAGTTTTTGAATAAACTGTGCCCCAAAACCTAAACTAACAGTGGACTGGATTGAGTAACTTGTATGGGACAGAATGTGAGAATGGAGCTGCAGAGTTTTGGGTGCGTTCCTTACGTGGCTAGTTTATGTTGATGGGGGAAAAATGGGATGGTTTCACAGTGGTGCCAAGAACACTGTCCTGGACTTAGGCCCTGACCTGCTGCTGAATAACCTTGTGTAAGTTGCCTTACCTTTTAAAATCTGAACTAGTACTTTTTTTGGTAGGGTGGTGTGGACCACCTAACTGGTTCTGTTTACATTTTAAAAATAGGTTGGTTCACGTTATCTTTTTATTATTTTGTTTTATTTTTTTGAGATGGAGTCTTGCTCTGTCGCCCAGGCTGGAGTCCAGTGGTATGATTTTGGCTCACTGCAACCTCTGCCTCCCAGGTGCAAGCAGTTCTGCCTCAGCCTCCCAAGTAGCTGGGATTACAGGCACTCACCATCATGCCCAGTTAATTTTTGTATTTTTAATAGAGACAGGGTTTTACCACATTGGCCAGGCTGGTCTCAAACTCCTGATCTCAGGTGATCCACCCGCCTTGGCCCAAAGTGCTGTGATTACAGGCATGAGCCACCGCACCTGGCTTATTGCTATTTAGAGACAAGGCCTCACTATGTTGCCCAGGCTGGTCTCAAACTCGTGAGCTCAAGTGATCCTTCTGCCTCAGCCACCCTCAGCCAGCTAGGATTACAGCCATGAGCCACTGTGCCTGGCTAATTCATGTGATTTTTATAATATCCCCCAACTTCCTGTGTCCTGTATGTTTGGTTGGTTGGTCTACAAACATTAAGTGCAAAGCACTGTGCTAGACCCTGATTAATACACTGCCCTCAAAGGGTTCACAGCTATTACCAAAGATAGACGTATTACAATGTGATACGATAAGTTGATGATAGTGGGCAGTACAAACCACTTGAGTGGCACAAAGAAAGCTAATTAAAGACTTCCTTTTCTGGCCGGTCGTGGTGGCTCACACCTGTAATCCAAGCATTTTGGAGGCCAAGGTGGGCGGATCACCTGAGGTCGGGAGTTCAAGACCAGCCTGACCAACATCGTGAAACCCCGTCTTTAAAAAAAAAAAAAAAAAGACTTCGTTTTCTGGGTCAGGAGAGGTTTCACAAACACAACTTCGACGTGCCACAGTGTGCTCATGGGTATGAGTGGCTGAAT